GGGGCTTCAAAACTGCGAAGCTGCGTGCAATGTTTGGTAATTGTTTCAATGGTATTGGATACATGGTGAAATTGGCACTGCAATTCCGATACTTTGGAGCGAGAACCCAGATGCAGATGGAGACGGACATGGTGGCAACGGTAACGGGGATACGAACGCCGTTGCGGGCTGCCTAGCGGTCGCCCAGGCGTTGCCGTTTTAGGTAGTCAGGGGCTGGACTCAGAGACCGGAAATCTTGTGGCGCGTGTTCGGCTGTCAAGTGTTGCCACGGGCTGGGTCTGGGTCAAGGCACAAGCCGATTCCGAGGGTGAAATATTCGCACGTTGCATCCATCATCTCGTTTCGGAAGCACAGGGTCTGTTTGTCAAGTGTGTGTGTGTTCTGGGTATTTTTACCCCTGGACCCCACTGCCGCGGTACTGTGTGGATGTTGGATGGAGATCCACTTGGCAGCTGGAGGCATCAGCTGGTTGTCTGGCGTGACCGAGGTGACCTGGTGTGTGATGCGTCGTTGTCTGATGAAGTGTTTGCTCACGGGCATGACATGTCTTATCCAATTCTCAGGGCGCAAGATGAGAACTTTTATCCAATTGTAATGTTGAAGATGAGAAATGTCATACCGCAGTCAGCAAGTCCAGGCCCTAAAAACCCACGAGAGAATAGCTCCCATCAGAGAGAGGTATAAGCTTACATGCCTCGTAAAGGAGACTCGCCCCCTTTTCGCCATCACCTGATAGTGATTACTCCATGAGGTTAAGTTTTCCCTAAACCTCATGGGATTTCAGTCCTACGGATTGGGCATGCCATAATCTAACGGCAACTCCTTTGATCTCGAGGGACTGGATCTCAAGTTGAAACTCGCGGTAGTGCGATACAGGCATTGAGAAAGTGTTTGTATGTTTAGTCCACATTGAATGGTTGTGTCAGCGATGCTATTCAACCCTTACCCCTGGGAGTACCATAGAAGCTGATCTGAATAATAATAAGAATGATTTTGGGAACGCTCAACCTCGATGGCAAAGCGGCAAGTTTGTCAATGCAACGCCAAGCCCCTGGGTTACGAGTGATACTGACCCAACTCGCCCAGAGTTGCCGAGGGGAACGGAATAACACAGGATTTTGGTTGTTGGCGTGGAGGTCTCGGGAACCCATCTGTGGTTGAACGCGCAGAGGCGGCTTGTAGATGTCGCCAATTCTTTCGATCTCGCGGTCTTTGTCGACTGGATCGTGCTGAATGATGCAAAGAGCGTCAACCCAAAGGTAACGTAGGCCAAGGATCTGGCTGTCTCGACTGCATCTTTCGCTGTTGGAGATAAGCTTGCCGGGCTGAAAACTCGAGTGAGTTGCTCAAAATTCATCTTGGTAGTTGAAAACTGCGTGGTGGCTCCCCAGCACTAGCTGAGTGTTGCGTACCCAACCCTCGCGTAGCCGGGACTTGCGCAGTTGAATCGTTCAGGGCGAATCTGGCCAACCAGTTCTCATAACAGAAGGAAAAAAGAGCAAATTCCGTCACGACCAACAAACCCGTGGATCTGTTCCTTGCTGTTGAGCGGGTCAACGACTTCGCGAAAGTGCGGACCTCGCGCTTGGTCGATTGACCATCAACATGCCCGACAGAGACAACCGTCGAGGCTTTCAAGCCGCAGCGGGTCGTTCCCCATGATTCACATGCTCCGCCAGGTCGTCTCCTGCTGGGTTCGGCATGTTGCGGGGACAAAGTTTGAGGCTGCGGGATCTCGGCATCATGTCGTGGGGTGCGCGCCGGCCTGCTAAGGTTCACACAGTGTCCATGGGCACGTCGAAGTACCTCCCTAGCCAAAGAAACTTCCAATACAATGCCGAAAACATTTCCCGTTTTCTCCGACTTGGGCAAAATTTCCCCAGACAAAGCACCGACCAACAGAGCGCTGCAACTTGCAGCTACTCCCGGCATCACCATCGACCGTCGAGACAACTTGAGCCCACCATCATCCTTCCAGGTTACCAACCAAGCCCTAACCGCAAAAATGCGCCCCCTCGCGCTCCTCACCCTCTTCCTCCCCCTCGCCCTCCCCACCTCTGCCGCCCTCGTCGACCTCTACGAAGACGCAAACTGCCAAAAAAAAATCATCGGCGACCAAAACGTCTGGGACAACTCATGCGCGGTATGGAAGAAGCACAAGTTCAAGTCGTACAACATCACGTACCCCGGCGGGCCGCACCAGAAGCTGCATCCGTTCGACTACTCATGGTGCGTGGGCTGGCAGAAGAAGCATTGCTTCAGGGCGGTGGTGGACAAAACGTGTCACCGGGCGGATTTCCACGAGGAGGGGTATAGCTACGCGATGGGGAGCTGTATGCTTTGTAGCGTGTTTTGAGAGAGGAGCTGGGAGGACATGGGAGGAACAGGTGGGATCGGTGTTGGGAGTCACGGCTGGGAAAAGATGGATAACTTTGAGGTGGGATTTTAGGAAAGGGCTACATTATTACCAGATATTGCTTGGTTGGCGGACGTGACAAGAAAGAAAGGAACTGGTCTCGTATCCGGCACGACGTTAATGACGCCTCCCAGCTGATTGTACCGAGTCATACCATTTCTAGTAGTCAAAGCAAAGAACTTGGCCCTCATGGTGTCAACAAGGAGCTTGCCCGCGTATCCGGGGTCATCATTGTCAGCAGGGACGTTGAGCTGCCCAGGATTGAGGTGGATAATTGTGAAGAAGTTCGGCCCTTCGCCCTTCAACTGAACGACGAAGGAATATTAGCCCGATTTCCAACTCAACGAGGCGGCATTGGCCTGGGTGCCCCGTGCCCTCGCGGGTCTGCTTCTAGCTCGAAGGTTGCCAGGCTGGAAGTCTCGGACTGGCCAGAGCCAGTGTTTCACCCTGATGGCATCCTTTGACCGCTTCATTTGATCGATGTAATCGACAGGACGTCGGCGAGATCAATCCGGAAAGCCGAGCTGATGTCCAAGGAATGGCATCGTTGCATACCGCAATATCGATCTGCAATCGGTGCCCGGAGCACAGCATTCTAGACAAGTCGGTGCAGAGCAAGAGCCATCTAGCGGGCGAGGGACGGGGAAGCCAGCCGCGGGAGGACCGCGATTCGAGGTGGGAATATGACAGGTCATGTACAATGAATAAACATGCCTGCTGAATATCATGCCTGGGTACCTGACGACGTTGGGCCGAATCCAGTGACGGCGGCGCCACCAACCGATGGGTCGTCCCGCCATCCACGAGAGACAGTCTGCTGTGACACGCTGCTACCTGCGCAATCTGAGTTACACTGCGGGATCGGGATGCGGGGATACCCAGTCATCCCGCGGAAGGACCGTTCGTCGAGGCCGAATCGGAAACCCTCCATGGCGCATCTGGCGTTGAGGCCGAGTCCAGACCTCTTAGCGCCCCCGGGAAGTGACCCGGAACCAATGACGGCGTGGCTGGACAGACAGTAAACATTCCTGTTTCGGCAGGAGAGAAACGGCTTCGGAACCAACCAGGGGGCGGGGAATTTCTCAGCGGTTGGAGATGTTAGTAATGATCCAACTGGATATCGGATGCATTAACCAGAACCTCGCGCAGGATGTTCTGACCGAGAGTCTGAGGCCCTGCCCTGGCGAGGGCGATGTATCGAGAATTGGCAAGCCAGCTCGGTTATGGCGCTTGCAACAAGGTTTCCCATCTCTGGAGCCGGACGAAGTTGCACAATGGATCGTTGTACCATGTGGTCTTGTCCTGTTGTCATCCCTTGGGCGCGCACCAGAAAAACAAACCGTCTTTTCCCAGTAGCGTTGCATCCCAATATCCTCAACAGCCAGCCTTCCAGACGAACTGCCAACAGAAGAGATGTTCTCAGAATTGCCGCCCAAGTTGAGAGAGCTGCTCGACGGCCTGGACAGAATCGGCACCGGGCAAGAGGGGAACAAAACGGCGGAACCTCAAGGCAAACGCAGCTTCATCCCCGACACTCCTTCTCCAGAGGGGGAAGGATTCGAGGACCGGGTGTGCCGAGAAATGGGCGCGAGCTTGTTCCGATACAAAGCCATTGTCCCTTTCACGTTTTTCCGCGATGTGAAGGTACGGAACCCCATCTCTTTGCTGCCTTCTCGTATCGGCCGGGGGGCATGGCATGTGGTGTTGACTTGACGCGAGCGCATGGCTGACGTTTCCTCGATTGTGCATCCGTAGGCTTGGACCCATATGCGCCACCCGAGCGATCCAGTTGCGGCAGCGGTCGAGATCCGCCAGTTTGTCATCAGCTTTGTGTACTACTTCTGCACATCGACGGGCTCAGCGCGAACGCCCATACCGCAGCAGCCATTGCTGATGGCGCGGAGCAGGATGTCGGAGATTGTGAAGGGGAACAGAACATTGGAGGTAAGGTTGGACAGCTTCGTTCCACGTTGGAAAGAAGGAGCTGCCCCGGCAACGACGGATTGGATGCCCGAGGCCAGGAAGGTTTCGATCCCGCCGCCTCTCCTTGCGAGGTTGGAAAAAGATGTCTCGGAAATACTTGCGTGGAGGGGCGTTGATGAGATGGACACCGGGGCAGACTGAGGTGACGGGATTGGACCAAGGCGCGCTTCCATTTGGCCACCGTTTCCAAAGGAGGCCTTTGTGCTGGCGCCTGTTCCCACGCCCAGTCATGCTCCCAAAGTCGGAAGGAGAAGGGCCAGGGGCTGGCACAGAAGCAGTTTGAGGTGAAAGGAATGTGAGCAAACAGCCGGTGAAAAGAGAACCTTGTGGGCGCTCGTGTGAAATGCGGCAACGTGGCCGAAGAACATCCAAATAACCCCTTCGTTCCTGCCCTCTCTGAGCCCGGCGTTGTTGGGGGCGCAGCTTCCTTCAACAATGGCAGATGCCTCATCGGGAGCAAGACCGCCCGAAGAATGCCGAGGAGACCTCACGTCGCTTTTTCTCCCCGCCCTAATTTTCCGAACCATGCACTCAATCCTCAGAAGCAAAACTTGACGATGCTCAGCAGATCCGGCAAAAAGAAAACATGCAGGTTGGCATATGCGCCATCCGAGATTCGAACTCGGGTCCCTTGCTGTTCCAAGATCAGATGGGAAGCAAATATACTGACCACTGTACTAATGGCGCGGCACGCTGCACGTTTTGCTTGTTGGGTGTTGGCGCGAAAAGACATCATATATTTATGTGGCCCACATCTGGAGTTGAAGGTGGGGTTTTGAGGGGGCAGCACGTCAACACCCCCTTTTCACCTCCCACGCTCATCTGCATACCCTTGCAATCACACATCAAAAATCTCATCATTTTCAGCAGTTTCATCCGTCTTTTAAACCTTTTTATTTACGGATTTCTCGGGACCTGAGCGTCGCCTCCACCAATTAATAAGCCATCCCATCAGTCGCACAGCGGCCAAGATTGAGACACGCCCCACCATCTCGAGCCCCCAGCCTCAAGACCCTCAGAACCCCTTCCCCGTCCCCTCAATCCTCCCCTCCGCACTCTTATACCTCCTCAAACCCTCTGCCCCACCCAGGCCACCACCCTCCCGCTCGCTCTCAGTGACCTTCGTCCAAAACGGAGTCACCTTCAACCAATACATTGTCTTCCTCCTCGTATCCGCTTTCGGCCCTGGCACATCCAGGTGCTTCACCTCCTTGAACTTCATGTGGCGCTCGCGCTCAGGGGCGCGATACGGCATGGATTCGTACTCTATAGAGCGGAAGGTGAGTGCAGGGTCGTGAGGGACGTAGCGGTAACGAGACGGGCGGAAGAAACGGGAGGGGGTGAATCGCGGACGGGGGGCGATTGGGTGAGGAGGCATGGTGTGAGTGGGCGAAGAAAGGGGGATACGGGCAGACGCCATGGTGAGCTTTAAGTGCTTGAACTACGATGTGTAAAATAACTGATGGTGGAGTGGTGCGTTTGGTAGTCCTGAAGGCGAGCAACTGAAGAGGATGATGGAACCACGGTGATGCACTCCGGGTGGTCCGTTAATATAGTGCTCGAGGAGCTAGCTTCGCAAGACAAGACCTTTGTCTCTTGTCTAGTCCTTTTTCGCAACTTGCGATATAGTGAACAACAAAGCATGGCCTTTCCCTTGGTACGTGACAAAGAAATTTGCCTGGACGAATCGTAGTCTCAAAGGAGTCACCAACAGAGCTGACCATCCCATTCATACCAAAGGGGGTGATATTATTCATCGCTAGACATTATTGACTCCAACCTATAACATGTACTCTCATGACTCTACTACTGACAAGCTCGGAACGGCCAACAAAGCTCACGCCACCACCCCGCTGCACAGAGTGTCGTCGCAGCCAAAAAAATAATGATCGTCAAGCCAACATCAAACGCTGAAGATTGGAGTTGTCATGCCCAGAGACGAAAGAAGGGGGGTATGATCCATATCCGACGCCCTGAAAATGCATCAAAAAGCATGCTGCCGGGGCAGAAATCCATCGCCAGCGGGTCGAAAATCGCGACAAAACCTCAACGCTTTTCGGGGGGCGGCGGCGGGTTAGAACTGAAAGCCGAAGGCGCGGAGCCCTCGGTTTCCTATTGCCTAATGCCTTGCTTCGCCTAGAATATGTTAGACCGTGCCAGCGCAAGCGTCCAGTCAAGTATGATGACGTTGACATACCTTCATCTGCTCGATACGAGCCTTCAACTGGCTTGTAACCTCCGCAGCTCTCTTCCAGCTTTCCATCCCACTACCAGTAGGGGCTGCAGTCGTTGGCTGATCTCCCAGCCTGCTTCCGGTCCGGCTTCCAGCTCTACTGTTCGACCTGTCCCCGTAGCTGCTGAAGCCGCTTGCAACCTGGCTGTCCATGCTTCGTGGCTCTCGCTCTTCGACGTCGCGCCTGAAGCCCCTGGCCGGGCTGCCACGCCCACTGCTTGCGGTGCTCCCAGCGTACCTAAGCTCGGGGCTCAGCTTGCTGCGCGGGTAGGCAGCCGCCTCTCCGTTCTCTTTCTCCTCGCTGAGGGTGCTATTAAAGCTCATGCGATTCCGGTTCCCGCCAGCCTGTTGCATTCCGTCGCGGTATATGCCCGCGTCGTCGTGGGCGGGGCTCATCATGCCTGGGTTAGGAGAGCTGGGGCTGCCAGGCCCTGCAACGCCAAACGCCTCGGCCTTACTCAAGGCACGTTTGAGTCGGTCAAGCTCGCGCCGCAAGCGCTCATTCGTTGCCTCCGCTGCCTCCGTGTCACTGCGAGCCCTAACTAGCTGTGTCTCCTTGGCCTTGATGGACAAAACATCTCTGGTATGATCCTCGATGAGACCGGCGTTGTGGTTCTTAAGCTCCTGGATTTCGGACAAAAGTTTCGATCTCTCGTGCCGGGCATCATCAAGTTGCTTCAGTAGGCGTTCGTTTGCAGTGCGGAGCTCTTCCAGTTCGGCGCGCTCGATGGGGGACAGGCCTGATGCAGGAGTTGGCGATGGTGGTGCGGCCGGGATGGGCGGCGCGACGGGCTTTGCCAAAGAACGGCCGGCAAGACCACCCCTCCCCATACCCAGGCGAGGCGCGGGCTTGGCGGGTGGGGAGGCTGGGGGCTCGTACTCGTCTAGAGGAGGCGATGGCACGGCGGCCGGGCGGCGCGGCGAGGCCAGACCACCGGGGCCGGCAAGGGTTCGCTTCTGCGGTGCTTTCAGACCACCGAGGCCACCGGGCTTCGGCATCCCGAGCTTGCTGCTTGGGCCGGCGCGGGGTGTTGGCTCTGGCGCCAGAGGCTCTGCTGGTGGAGGTGCGGCAACGGGGGCCGGCTTCTTGGCACCGAGTGCTGGCTTCTTCCCTCCCATCATCTTCTTGGGCGGGGGGCCCCGGGCCACCGGTGCAGGTGGCGGCTTTGGCTTGTCCTTCGCCTTCACCTCGGCCGTCTCGAAGAACTCCTTGATCTTCGTCTTTCGGATGTCGTCGAGACCTTCCAAGTGAGGATTCATCGCACGCTCTCCGATAATCTTCATGACGGTTCCTAGGATCTCGGCGCCACCGGATCGGAGAACCTCGCTGCCCTCAGACAGCAGCTTCTTCGCCGCCTCCACGATGCTGGCAATTTCTGGCTTGGCAGGAACATCTCTTGTTGTCCTGAGGCATCGGACGAGAAACTTCATGGTGCCCTCTTTGACTTGCGGATTTTTGTGCCCAAGGTATGTTGTGATGTCCTCGAGACAGTCGGTGAGGTTGGTTGTGACGAAGACCGCATCCAAGGCAGCGCCAAGGGCGTCGGCGACGGTCTGCTTCTTCTCCTTCAACCTCTCCATAATGGGCTGCATAACGGTCGATCGGTACTTTGAATATCCTTTGCGGAGGCCCTTTGCCAGCAGCTCGATACATTGCGCCGCCTGGGTGACAACTGCTATGTTGGCATCCTTCATGCACTTGGCCAGACAACGGTTGACTTCCCCGAAGTCGGCATCCTTAATCCTGGGAACATTGACGATGGCGTAGAGGGCTTCCAATGCCTCCTTTCTCTCCTTCCACTTTGTCGAGGCGAGGTTGTCGAAGAAGTCCTTGGGAATTTTGCTGTACACGTCTTGGGGTTCGGCCAAATCGAACGCGTCAATTTCTGCTGGCTCTTCTGCCCCATCATCTTCCTCCTCTCCGTACTCGTCGCCGCCAGCCGCCGGGGCGCGCGCCTTGGCAGCCTGTTGCGATCTGAGTAGCCGCTCTTGCTTCGGGGCTCCTTCAGCCTTGACCTTTTCGAACTGGGCCTCGAGGTCGGTTTGCTGGGTTGGCTTCAGGTCGCTCCAGAACATCGGCTTCATTGCCTCGCGCAACCACCGGTAGAACTCGACGGCTAGGTTGGTCGCTTCCGCTCGCACGTTCTTGTCTGCATGGCCAAAAACCTTGGGCAGCACCTTCAGCACGGGCTTGGGGTCTGCTGTCTTGCAGCCATAGTTGTGGAATATTTGTGTCAGCGCCGCGAGGGAAGCGGCGACCACCTTCGGCTGCTTGTTGGACAGGGCGGGAAGGATATCTTCGATCACGGGGGCGGGGACATCGAGCTCGATGAACAGAAGCAATGCCTCGACTGCCGAAGCCTTCGTTGCTGCTCGAGTCGACGAGAGGCCCTTCTCAACAATCGGTGTGACGGCATGTTGTCTTGCGCGTACGGCGCCTTCGCGGCCGCCAAATTTGAGGAAGGCGCAGAGTGCGTTGAGACCTTCTTGTTGCGCGGCGACGTTTGAGTCTGCTGCGGCGCTCTTCCACAAGCTTGGCTCCTGGACGAAAGGCCGAAACGCAGCGTCGTACTCGTCTACCGTTTTTTCGAATTGCTTGGCCGCATCCTCGTATGCCTCCTTTCGAACTTTCCAAACCTTATGTACCCAACGGTCCGTCAGGGGCAGGGAGCTGAAGTCCTCTTCGTCGGCCATGGTCGCTGGCTGTTCGGTTCGCGGTGGTTGGTGTCGAGCGCTGAGTCAATCTGTGCACGGCGGTACTTGGATGTGGCCTATGCAACACGCGTCTGGTTAGTCTCCAGCACAGAGAAAGCAGCGAAGATCATCTCGCGTCAGTCAAAAGCGCCGCACGGAATGGCGAGGCTCGATCCCAACGTGCCGTTCGGGAGGGTGGGCTGCGGGACCTACGGTTGCTGCGTCAAAACTTGACCGTGGGGCCTGTCTGGTGGGGATTTCGAGGCGGGGCCGTAGCTTAGCACAAGTCGATCCAAAAGGGCGGCTTTTCGTCTAGTCTTGCTCGTGGTGATGTTTTCTGGGCGACGGGAAAAAGCTCGAGGCCGGATTGTTGATTCTGGCGTTCGATCCTGCAGAACTGCGATTGCCTGTGGTTGGCGGGACACGACCAGGGTTGCAGCCAAGGGTCTGCTGGGCAGGTCCAATCGTGGGGGACAGATTCGGCCGTGCAATCGACTCGTGAGGGAAACAGCGATGGGAACTGCAATCTGCAGCGTCGATGGCTCTGCAAATGCCTTGCCACGAGACCACGGACCTCCACCTCAGTCTTTTCTACTATTCTGCGCGCCTTTTACTTTTTTCTCTGCGGGTTTTGTGCGGCGATGCGCCGGCATGCATCCCAAGACTGGTTTGGGAGGTCTTCTGCATTGTTGACGTGGTCGCCCAATCGGCTGCGGGGCGTCATTGCTGGAGAAACCCGGCCGTGATGTCACCAATCCCT